GTATTTCGTATTTACAATCAGTTATATGTTGTTTCTAAAGTCACCGATTCCAGTTTATTGATGATTATTATTTCTGACAATGGTCATAAATACGTTCATCGATTACTAAGATTATATTAAGGAAAATATATCAAATATATTAATTAAAATGTTTATCCTACTTTTTATATGTATATTAAATTATAATTTACCCAAATTATTTTTAATGTCAGTCCGCGCAACGCGCGGGTCGCGTACTAGTTTTAATTGCAAACACACAAGACTTTTAGTTTACGCAATAGAAATATATTTATCCTCAATTAATACTTAGTTATTGAGAACAATTACCAAAATTAAGAAAACCATCTTTACATTACACGTCTAATTACTCATCCTGTGTCTCACGGCCAAACTGACCCCTCCCTCAACTCAACTTCCTCATCAGTAAATGTTTAGTTTATTTTTCTAAGTCTATATTCAGTTTATTTTTTAATTTATAACATTGTTTGTATCATCAGATCTCTCGATAGGTATGAATATTCGGTTCATATATCAAACATAAATGTATAAACGTATAATAAACATCGAAAGAGGCGGCGATCATTTGGGACAAAAATCGGGTACGAATATTCGGTTCATATAACAAACATAAACGAATAATTATTGTAAAATAAACATCGAATAATTATTCTCAAATCGGGTTTGAGAAGATGTTCAACACCTTCGACGTCGTCGCCCTCCCCGGAGCCGAGCCTCAAGTAGATCTCCAGTAAATCGCCATGTGCGGGGGTGGTTGGTGTGGGGAGAGTTGGTCTGCAGATCGCCATGGACGCGAGTGGTTGGTGTCGGGAGGGGTTGGTGGTGAGGCTTTGAGAAGACATTCATTTGAAATGTCCTATTTTTATTTAATGGTAATTTTATTATGTAAATACTATATATCTTGAGTAATGTAGATGTGCAAATAAGTTTTCCATGTATGTTTGTAATATTTTATGAATCAGTACATTATGGATGTGTAAATGATGGATAATTTTATCCCCAATTTCACCCAATTCCTCAATCTGCAGTAAATTTGTAGTGAAAAAACCCCTTAGTCATATCACAACATTAACAACACACTCTCAAGAACTAATAAAAAAAACAATTTTCTTGTGAACTGAAAAAAAAAACTACCATCAGTAAGTGTTTTGATGATGCCTGCACTTAAAAAACCAAGAATCTAAACAAGAACACCCAAGAAAATTCATCAGCAAACAACAGGCAACTCATCGTTGTCCGATTTTCAGCCCCTCCGAATCAAAACACACACACACACATTTTATCGGGGACCCCAGATTATGAAATCGAATCAAACCATGTCAGAAAAACCCGTCATCAACGAGAAAATGAGCAGGCTCGATCTTAGCAGCATGGCCATACTTAGAACAGCTGTACTTTTTGTGCACCCCTGTAAGCTTCTCGGTCCCCGCCCGCCTGTGGAGATCCACCATCATTTTAGCACATTCCCTGCGAAAAAATTTGAACTCCTCGATTCAATGATTTTGTGTTTCATATAACCAAAACAAGAAAGAGTTTAAATATTAAAGAGAAAGAAGAAAAGGCTAGCTTTTTACATGAGCTGGTCTTGGCTGTAACTCGTGTAGCTCATGCACGTTTTGCTCCACTGCTTACATCCGCTCAGAGTGCATTGGGCCGTGAAAACTGCAGCTGCAGCTAGCAACGAGGGCGGGAACTTAAGCATCTCGTAACTGACGAGGCAAAGCTCGGCCATGAAGAAGGATAGCATCTCCAACTGCTTTCAATTAAAAGTTACACAAATTCAGATTGAGGACAAGAAGTATTACATTTACAGACAAAGTAAAGAAAAGAAAACGAAAAACAAGAGAGAACCTTTTTGTCAGACTGAGCGGCTTTAAGGAAACGTCTGATGAACGGATATGGAGTGGGCAAAGACAGATTGAATTGCAATGTGTTGATCATTAGTTTCTCCTGCATGAAAAGCATCATTTCAAGTGAAAATCAAGAAAACTAAATGTTTCTTTTTCTTTTCCTCTTCTATCATTTGGGTGAGAGAGAAAAAAGAGTACCATATCAAGAATTTCCTTACGGCAGTAAGCCTTATCGGATATGAAAATAAGGTCATCCACAATCGGGACAGAAACCTCTTCATACTTGCAAGCAAGGAGCATAGCAGTGACCCCAACAAGCTGTAGCTTCTTTCTCAACACGGCTTTCACTGCCAAGAATCTATCGATTATGTTCACCATCAGATATAATGTCTCGTCCATCAGCTCGAATTTGTAGTGCACCTATACACGTACGCATGCAATGTCAAATAATTAGGCCAGCACACCAAAGTATTAAAAAGAACGGTAAAAAGGAAAAAAACACTTTGATTTTAGTTTTAGGATAAAAGGATATTTTAGCAGAACATTAAGATTTTTCCCTTTTTTTTACCTCAATCAGCCAGTCGATAAGGATCCCCCTCATTCTCTCATTGATATCAGATTGACATGCCATGTAATTTGGTGGCACACAACTTGTTCTCTGCAATTACAAGTGACACAAATCAATATATACTACTTTGAAACTACAAAGACAACCAAAAAAAAAAGAAAAAGAAACTGATTAGTATCCTCCTCTTATATGCAAGAGGATATCTGAAATCCCAAGTACCGGATTTTTTTCATTATTTGCGCACACACAAAAATGGCCGTTTTTGGAAGAAAAAGAACGAGTTTTTCCACCAAAAAGCTGAAGATGGTTTTTTTATTCAGTGCTTTGTACTCTCTCAGATAGTAACATAATTGGTATATATCAGCCGCAAATGAGATTCAATTATTCAAACTTCTCAGGCAAAATGGAGAGATGATTTCTCACCTCAGTTTTCAGATAGTAATCGTGTATATCATCAATGTACTCGGTAACCGCAAGCACGTTTTTCTTATCGACACAGTCTATATCAACCACAGGCTCATCATCATCCCCATCAATCTCCTCCATTTCCACTTCCACATCCTATGAATCAAATTTAGCAACATAAACAAAGTGCACATATTTATTTAAAAAACATCCCAAGATACCGAATATAACACATATAAACTGAATATACCATGCTATCGATTTCCTCCAGCATAGCTTCTGTATGCTGCACGAACATGGGCACGTCATGTTCGTCCATGGCCTTGTGATCCTCTTCATCTATTGCGTCTATAATAATACAGTCCTCCGGACAGTTTGTGCCCGAATTCGATTGCACGAGTGGCTTTACTTTCTACACCAACATCAATTTTTTCTTAATGCCCAAAAAGGACAGAACACAATGCATTTCATTAAAACTCTGGAAATTTCTTCATTTAAGGTCTAAATTTCTTCTGCCACACTTATCTACATATGAATCCATTAACAAAATATCAGATGTTTCATTTACAACTACAAGTATATATATACCTCAAGTGATGGATGCTGCTCTTTGACAGCCACTTGTGCAGCAAACCTCCTTAAATTCACCCAAAAAATTAAAAATAAAATCAAGAAAAGGCAGAAAACAGAATAAATGTAAACAAAAAGGACTGATTTGCAAACCTAGTGACAGGACGGTGCACAGGAACATGATTCTTACTACAGGAGTCGTTTTTCCTGAGACAAGAATTTAGAATTCGATATGACTAACAGACTAAGCAATTAAGATTGATTCAATAAAGGCAAAACATAAAACACAACAAGTGTACAGACAATCATCTACATTAATTTTTTACGTACTCTTTCAGAGCCCCTCGTTTTACAACAGCACGAGGGTGAGGGGGAAGAACTCCAGTTATGTTCGCATTAATTGCACTTAATGCCCTTCTATTCTTCCCAATACAATTTTGGCCTCCTTGCAACAAACCCCCTATAAATTTCACATTTTTTTTTGGGGGGGACAAAAAGAAAAGAAACTTTCATCAGACAACCATTACCACCGATCAAGATCTTGTTCTGCAACTCGTAATAAAAATTTGATCTTGAAGATGAACATTACCTTGAGACTTTGGGGGTCTGATCAAACCCGGGAAATTCTCTTTTGAAGAAGCCATCTAACGACAGATTTCGATGAAAAAAAGTTCTGAAAATTTGGGGAAAAAAACCCATCAAACGAACATCAAATATCAACGGATAAAAGAAACAAAAATCAGATCCAAAGGCTAAATCATGATGAAAAAAACAGAATCAAAAAACCCATAAAGAAAAAAAGGGCCAACCTCAAAATCAAGAAAATCACAGTTCCTTCTCCTGTATTATTCAATCAAGAACCCGATAGAGAGATACGAGAAAGACAGTACAGAAAAAACCCTTTAAAATCAATCGATTGACAATGAGAGTTCACTTTGAAAAAAGCTCTCTCTCTCTCTCTCCCTCTCTCTCTCTCTCTCTCTCTCTCTCTCTCTCTCTCTGATCGAAATTTTCTTGCAGAGAACGCAAAAAGGGCTGATATATCTGTGTCGGGCTCACATTACATGCCTCGCAATTCTCTCTTTCTCTCTCTCTCTCTCTCTTCATGTTTTTTGAAAACAACGGCTAGTTTGTAATCTAATTTGCGCTACGACGAAAGGTTGTGTTTGTTCCTTGTTTGGCCCAACGGTTATTTTCATCTTTTTTCTTTTTCTCCTTTAAATAAAAGAATAATGTAAATAATGTCATTTACTACCTTCTATTTTTAATATATGTCGTTTTGACAAGTTGCACATTAATTAAAAATATTTTTTTGTCAATCATAACCTTATTTAATGAAAATATAGATGAATGTTTTGAGAAAAAGTTAAGAGTGAATATGAGAAGACGTAATGTATTTATTAGCTAATTGAGGGTAATAATTAAAAAATATGTACAAAAGATCCAAAACGACATTTATTTAGTTAATAGTTGATAAAGTTAGATGACATTTAAAAAAAGTAGGAGGGTAATAATGAGAAAATATGTACAAAAGATCCAAAACGACATTTATTTAGTTAATAGTTGATAAATCTAGAATGACATTTAGAAAAAAAATAGGAGAGAGTATTTTTTACGCCTCTAAAATCTAGTTGTATTAAAAGTGCCTAAGTTCTCCATTTAATTTCTCATCCTTGCAATAAAAAAAAAAAAAAAAACAACTGTTATTAACCTCCCTTTATGGTTTATTTCTCCTAATCCAAAAAATTTTAATATTTTTTCTTGTGATAATGATGCTTACAAAAATATTTTATGTGACGTGCCAAACGTATCCTTAATTCCTTATGATCTTTCCTTGTGTGAGTATTCATCACACATGTTCATGATAAGGCCATCTCCAACCGAAAAACTCAAACTCAAACCCATTTTGCAGTAACTATCTCATTTTGCAGTATTCATCTCCAACCGAAAAACTCATTCTCAAACCCAAAAGAATATTCATAGAATATTCTCTTTTACACCAACTTTTATAACTTTTCAATACTACCCACATATTTTACAACTTTACAAATTAAACCACACTATTATTTTAAATTCAATTTGGACATTATGTAATTAAAATTAATTATACATAATAAAATCGGAGAAATAAATATTCATTAAAAATTAAAATTTCGCCACACAAATAAAATTAAAAATTACAATTCTCAAGATGAAAAATTAAAAATTACAAGACACAAGATGAAAAATTAAAAATTACAACACACATGATAAAATTAGAAATTACAACACACAAAATGAAAATTTAAAAATTACAACACACAAGATAAAATAGAAAATTACAACAATCACGTAAAAATAGATAGTCTTTCAAGTCTCGGAGTTGGTGAATTCTTCTCATAAATGTTCAATCAGTGCATTCCGAAGTGCAATATGATCATCTTTATTTCTAATTATTTTGTACCGAGATATAAATTCTTGAAATCGAGTACTTTCATCTACTGCCATTTCGACCACCGGCGGCGGCGTTTCCATTTCAGTTTCTATTGGTGCACTTAGGTCACGTTCATCCTCGACAATCATGTTATGCAAAATTATACATGTGGTTATGATATCATGTAACACTTCTTTTCGCCAATAACGTACTGGTCCTGCTACAATGCCAAAACGTGATTGAAGAACTCCAAATGCACGTTCAACGTCTTTTCTGCAGGCTTCTTGTTTCATTGCAAAATATTTTTTCTTTAGACCACGTGGCTCATGAATTGTTTGCACAATGGTAGACCATTTTGGATATATGCTATCAGCTAAATAATAACCCATGTTGTATTCTTTTTCTTGAATTACATAATGAGCTGGAGGAGCAATACCTTGGGTTAGATCCGAGAAAAGATGAGATAATTCTAGAACGTTGATGTCGTTGTTGGAGCCCGGCAAACCGAAATAAGCATGTCATATCCATAGATCATAATCTGCTACAGCTTCAAGAATGATTGTAGGCTTTCCACTACGACCAACATATTGGCCAGCCCACGCTGTAGGACAATTTTTCCACCTCCAATGCATGCAATCTAAACTCCCCAACATTCCTGGAAAACCACGTTGCTGGCCAATGTATAGAAGCCTGGAAATATCATCAGGTGTGGGCCTCCGCAGATATCGCTCGCCAAATACCTCAACTATCGATCGACAAAATTTTTTCATACTTTCAATTGCAGTGGACTCACCAATTTTAACATACTCGTCTGTAGCATCAGCTGGAACGCCGTATGCCAACATACGAAAGACAACAGTAATTTTTTGTATTGGAGATAATCCGAGTCTGCCTGCTCGATCCACTCCCTGTTGAAAGTAATGATCATGATCTTTGACTGCGTCGACAATTCGAAGGAACAACGAGCGAGACATTCTGTATCTTCTACGGAACATAGTCTCGTTATACAATGGATTTTCTGAGAAGTAATCATTGTACAACCTACGATCAGCAGCCTCTCGATCACGATTGATAAAAATATGCCCAGGAACAGATCCTCCATGGGAGGCTTCTTGGTTTTGTTGATTGATAAGATGTTGAATGATGATGTTGTTATTAGCGATAGCTTGAGCTATCACTGCTTGTTTGGATGGAAATTCGATCATGTTTGGGATATTATTAAAAATTTTGAAAAATTTAAAGATGGAGCTTCGAGGAGCAAGAAAAAACAGTCTGGTTGTTATCCATCTTCGGAGTCAGAAAATCCAACTCCCGAGTCTGCCCGACAAGAATCTGCAGGTATTTCTTCATTTTCTATAAATCTAAGCGACTCAGATCAATGTGCTACTGGTTCTCCATCTGAAAGACCTATCGGGGTCAAAAAAGCCAAACTAAAAAGAAAGGTAAATGATGATTCATCATCGCTCATCAATGCGATGAAGGAAGCAAACAAAAGACTTGTTGAGGAGATGAAAAATGCAAACGACCAAATAAAACATCAAATGGAGATGCACAATAGATCCCTCGCTTTAAAAGAAATGAGGGAAGAAAATAAAATTCTGTTTCAAGATGTCAGTTCCATTGAAGATCCTAGAGTTCGAGCATACATTGAAGCTGAAAAGGCACGGATCTTGGAGAAAAGAGCTCAACAAGCCCAACCGGATCCATATCCAACCAATGCATTTGGCCAATTTTTCAGTGATCTTGGAGGAAGCGGTGCCAACTTGCCAGATTACTAAGTATTCGTGCTTGTTTTTAGTTGTTGGGTTTATGATGTATTTTTTAGTACCGTGTGATGTTGTATTTCATTTCACCACTAGTTATTTACATGTGCTTCTTTAAATCGTAATGCATCATGTTTTAATGTTATTGCTATTTGTATTAGTAATGTTGTTGTTGTTTAATGTTAGTGTTTTCTTTTCTTATAAAATAAAAATGCCATAAATGATATGTATATTTTATATTATTATTGTGAAATATATAGAATCAAATGATAAACATTATATTATTATTTTAAAAATTGTACTATTTAATTTTTATGAAATCAAAATTTTTAGTATTTACATTATTATTGTGAAAAAAATATAAAATTAATATGTATATTTACACTACTATTGTGAACAAATATAAAATAATATGTTATTCATTATTTTAATGAAATTAAAAAGGGAGAATTATATGTATAATTTACATTATTATTGTGGTACGTCTAAAATTAAATGATAAACATAATATTTATTATTTAAAATATTATACTATCTAATTTTGATGAAATTAATTATTTTAATATTTTACATTATTATAATATTATTATTATTATGAAAAAATATATAATTAATATTCATTATTTGGTAATATAAATGTCTTTTTTATGTGTTAAATAAGCTTTTTAACATTAATATGATTTGTAATTTTTTTTTACAAAATATACTAATATATAATAATAAAAAAATAATAAAACAAACAGTAGTTAATAATACTAAATACAATATATAAAATACATATATATTTTATATATATTATATAATATTTGGTTTGATATCTAATTTATACTAAATAATGGATCATTTTGCAATTATTAAAAGTTCATACGCAAAATATTTGCGTTGAACGCAAATTTGCGTTTCACATAGGAGAGAGAAGGCCAAAATCGGATTTTGCGATGGGATTTGCAGTTCGATTGGAGCAAATTTCCCTCATTTTTTGCGTTATGCGAATCCGTTGGAGAAGGTCTAAGGCCTTAATTATGTAATCATGAGATTATACAATAGATTGGTCCAATTTAGCCATCACAAATTCTTGTGAAATTAAGCGTAATAGTTAAACGGGTCGACACGTTATATATATAATTTTTTTAACAAATATTATAGTTATACTATAAAATATCATACTTTTATTTATATTATTTTCTAAGATATAATATTTTAGTTTAAAAGTATGCATTTTTATTGAATGAGTATGACTATATAATTGTCAAATGATAAGTTTGTCTAATATCAACTTTAATATTTATGAAAATACTGGAATATATAATACACTTAAGCAAAACAATCTATACTTATATTAAAAACTATACTATTTACTAAATGTAGTATGTAGAATAGTCAACACTAATTAATGATTTGCTATTTTTATCAAGTATTTAATTAATTCATCTAATATTTTTGGTATGCAAATCAAATTAGCATTTAA